TCCTGTCTGTATCATTATGAAGCCGAAATGATGTGAACAAATTAAAATTTCAGGTTGTGTGTGCCCTTTATGATATATTGCTACACCAGAAGGATATTTTCCAATTCCTGATGAAGTCCTCTAAATCAAAAGAGGCGAAATACGCACAGCTGTCACAGAGAAATATCAGAAATGTAAGTTATTAAATGTTTAATCATTTATTTTAATTCTTGGCAAGTTGATGATACGAGCCGACAATTTTAGGAAGAATTGCTCAGTATGTATTGACGTCTATTCGAAAGAGTCGAGCAGACAATTTGCATAAGCATGCTGCCAAACCTGCAATTAGAAAACACCTTAGCTCATCCTTAGATTTTTTTCTATTTTGTGTGGATCGCGTAACAAGTCATTTAAAATTCCTTGAAACTATTTACGTTAAATCAAAAACGCCATCCTAATGCAACGAGAAAGATTCTCGTTGGGACTTAATAGTCTATTTCTAAAAACAAAAATATATACCAGTCTCATTTTATTTATACGCGTATTTTTTTTATTTTTATTTCTTTTTTTTTTTTTCTTTTTTTTTTTTTTCAATTTTATTTTCCTCGATCGAGTTCTGACGTGTGTGGAGTGATAACCTGTTAGTTGTTTCCATCTTTTCTTTTATTCTTTTTTTTTCCTTCCATTTTCGTATTGCCAACTAACTTTTAATTATGACCGTTTTTATTGCTTTAATTAAATTTTGTACCTCCAATAAGGATAGCAGCTCGGATTGAGAAATCGAAGAGCCGAGTTCGAATTCCAGTCGAGTCCATTACATTCACTTACGTACTAATACCCTTGGGAAAAATATGAAGCCTCTTCTCCTCCTAGCTATAGGTAAATAGCAGTACAGACAGTTTTATTGGCAACTGGTCTACCGCAGAAAGAAATGTCATGTATCTTTCGATACATGACGGACAGGCATGTATCACTTATGGCACATAACTGACTGACACCCAATAAGATTGTAAAGCATTTTTTGCTAAACGAATACAACTGAACATCTGTCTATATTTCTGAGATAAGGTACTATGTACATTATTTACATTATTCGGACTATAGTCCTCATCTTTGTTGCCATGTTTATCACAACGTTTGAATACAATATGGGAATCAATAATAAGGAGTGCCAGAGAAAAACGATAATAACAACGAAAATTGCAATATGGGCTCTGGTAAAAACATGGAATGACAACAGCAAAAATTGCAATATGAGCACTAGTAAAAATGGCCGAAGACATTAGGTTTATAATGCCAACAAATATAAAGTGTTCAGTTCGACATTCCAACCACCTGAAGAAGGCCGGAGCGTGATAAATATGGCAACAAAGATGAAGAAATAGTCCGAATAATGTAAATATAATTACAATTGAAAAGTAAAAACTTCAAAATTGAGTTTTAGCACAAATTCGACTATTACAGGCTAAACCATATCAAACTGTCGATATTTTTAAAGTTTTCACTCGAACGCCTTCAATTTTGTTTTAAAGGGCCGCAGAGAATTTCTGCATATTAATAGTTTGCATTCTAGCATCTAGAAATCTCGCCAATTATCTGCATAAAATTCTATCGAGAATACCGTTTTTTTTTTTTTTTTTTTTTTTTTTTTTCTGAAGTACAATTTTTTCGGATGCTTACACCAGTTTCTTGGTAAAATTAATTTCCTATGAACCTTGCAAATCTTTCTTCGCGGAACCAAAATCATTTCTTTTTTCCTAAATTCTTCGCTGCTCTACTTGCAGCAGAGGAGAATAGTTCTGTCAAAATGTTCAATTCTTTTGCCTTAGAAGATACAACTTAACAAAAAACACAGGGAAAATATCAGCTTGGAACAAAAGGCCGTTTTAAACGATACAAATTTAAAGTAAGGTTCAATAGCATTGACTCCATATTGCCAAGTGATTTTATTCCATCATAAACAGCCAGAAAGCATTTGTCTACACATACTATCGCGTATATTAGTCACATTATTTACATGCGGGCTATTGTTCTCAACTTTGTTCATATTATCACAACATTTCAGACGCTGTGCCCTCAGACATACATGAGGTGTCTGTGGGCCGGAAATCTCGAACTAGGCCCTTTATTTAAATCAATGTCTCGTCTATTTCCTTATTTAGTACTTCAAAGTTAAGGATCGCCACTTTTCCAAGTCCTTACCCAGGTTTGAACTCGCGATTACAATGTTAATAAATGCAAAAAACCAATACTTTATTCATCTAGCCTATTGTACTGTGGGACAATCCTGAGTAGATACTTAAACCGAAACTTCCTTCTGATGAATGTTGCTGCTGCTTGTCATGCCTGACTGCACTCACAGTATTTTCTTTTCTACTGCTGCTGTTACTTTTACCGTAGCATTGCTGTCATTTCATGGCGCGTATCTTCGAGCCGCTATTGTGACCTCCTCACCGAATTCGTTATTTAGCCCTATAGAATGCATGGTTGTTCGCAAAAGGAGGAGTTGAAAGTGCGAATTCCAAATCGGAGATATCAAAATCAAACCAGTGCCGAAATCTAAACATCTCTAAAGTGTTTTAACAAGGGTCGGAAAGTGTGACACTTGAAATCCGAAGGCGTATTGAGATAGCCAAAGACGCCTTCCAAAAGCTAAGCAGAGTACTAAGAAATAGAAAAACTTCGCCCGAAACAAAGAAAATTGTATTGAACTGTTACGTGATATTTACCCTCTTGTATGACAGTGAATGCGGGACTCGTCAAAGATGAAAAATCGATTTGTCGCAACAGAAATATGATTCTACAGAAGGATTCTGAGGATATCATGGATCGAACATGTGAGCAACGACTAAATTTTAGAGAAAATGGAATCAAAAAAGTAAACTTGTACTTGACATTAGGAATAGAAAGTTGAGGTTTCTGTGAATAATGAGGAAAGAGGGCTTGGAAAGTCTGATACTCCCAGGATAGATTGAATGCACGGGAGATAATGCATAGCATACTTAGTAAGCTTGAGTAAATGGGTGGTGGAACAGGGTTTAGCAGAAATAACATCGACAAACTTTATTAAGAGCTAAATGGGACTTGAATTTGTGCAGAGTAATGATCGCCTACGTCCTGAGGAGGCACTACACTTAAACACGCATGCTTGTTTCGGTGTTTAAGCCTCCCGCTCAAGCACGTTTCTGACAAAGTTCTACTGCTCATTTAGTAACACTCTACCTAGAGTGGCTCGTTTACCTTGTATTCAGTGAAAAATAGTTCTTATATATCAGGTGTGAATTGGATGGGAACATGTCTGATAAATAGGATGGGTGAGGCAAGATCCCAGCGCCTAACAGTATCTCCATTTGTTCTGTATTTTTTTTGACGTATGAAGACTTGCATTTTCCTACAGCAGGATAGGCTTATTTCTCTTCACCAATGCACCCGTTACCGTAACTTTTGAAGCATCAATTCAAAATGACGACAATCGAACTCTGCCATAAAGTTCCGGTTCATATGCAAGAGGCTGTAATGGATTCTTCCATTTTCAGCCTCACCAGGAGACATTTTTGTGGGTAGAGATTTGGTTTCGAAAAAGTGGATGGGCCGTTTTTATAACTGTTATCGGCACAGGAAGTGAAACCGGCGTTCCGTGTTCAAAGACTTTCGTTTAGTTCATTTTAATAACCTTGGAAAAGGCAAGAGCTCATTTTTTTTTTTTTTATTTCACTGTAAGGTAAATAGTAAGGTTCTTTTAACCTTGTTAGGGCAACCAGTTTCAAAGAGGGAAAACTCTGTATTCAGAACCAATCTGAATAAAGAGGAGTTTGTCAGGCTAACCCCCCCCACCAACTACTCAAATCCTTGCCCCTTGAAACTTGGACTATCCCTCACTTTGACTCTTGTTCACCACCCTCAGATTAGCGGGACTCTTGTCTCTTCTCTCTCATTTACACACAAACACACAGTCTTGGCGCCCTAGACACTCCAAGTCTTGGCGCCCTAGACACTCCAAGTCTTGGCGCCCTAGACACTCCAAGTCTTGGCGCCCTAGACACTCCAAGTCTTGGCGCCCTAGACACTCCAAGTCTTACTGCTATGACCTTAATGGGTTACAAGATTCGTGTCATGATTGATACAAAACGCATTTAGCATTAAGCGTACTGTTACGAAAAGGATTCTTTTTAACTAAGCACAAATTAAAGCCAGTGTCGGACAATGAAAATAAGTGAGCATCAATGAGACTATGTAGTAGCCATTTGTCATTTTTTCTCATTCGCCGACTTGTTCGAGATGCGCTAATGCCAACATTTGATCCCAACACTCGAATGTTTGTTTGCAGAGGAGACTTTACTACTGCCCTCAGTTCTTTATTCTCGTGCGATCACCTGCATCTTGGTTCATTCTTAAGGAAAAAAAAACATTTGTAATTAACAACGCACGGTCCGTTTTGGGGTCTGATTCCACCTCCCGAACTGTTGATATTGCGGGTAGGTCTAGCAGCATGTTGATAAAATTTGAACTGCTGGACACTATGCTGACACGAAAATCACATATTTCTATAATATATGTATGCATGCTTATACAGTCAGACTTCTTTAATCCGGGTCCATTTTGTCCAGGCTACTACCGGACCAGAGAAATCATCCCTTAACAAAAAAAAAAAGAGAAAAAGCTATGTAAACATAATTTCGCCAGCTCATTCCATAGGTTTTGTATATTGCTCGGTTATCAAAGGCAGAACAAAGCTTAAAACATGAAATAAACAATCAATAATTAATGATTCTTTAAGTAATACAGTACTGACACAATCTTTACGGACGTTCCTTCATTCGGCAAGACCGTATTCACATGTGATCAATCTCTTAATGGACAAAGGAAGCTCATGAATAACTTATTGAATCATTTATTTATTTAGTGCATTTTGCACCGCCGCTGTGGTCACTGCTCCCCTCCATCTCTCCTTGTTTAATACTACCCTTTCAGCCTCAACCACTGTCATTCCAGTCCAATTCTTAATATCATCAAACCAAGACATGGGTGCTCATCGCTGGCGCTGCTTACCACCCCCACCCTCCATTGGGCCCAGCAGAATGTCCTTATCGAAATCACCTCGGTCTATAATATCCCCGAAGTAACAGATCATCTTCAACGTCATCTGATCTCTCAGTACGTACTTTGTTCTGATAATATCAAGCATCAACTTATTAGTGCGTCTTGTTGTCAATGGCACTCTAAGGACTCTGCGATATGACAACATCTCGAAAGCAACGAGTTGTCTTTCCCTCTTGATCAGTGCCCATGACTCGCATCCGTCGCTGGTGATGGCGAAAGCAGTGACTCGTACCAATTTCAAACTTTATGCTGATGTGTATATTCCTACTATTCCAGATGGTTTCCATTTTTGTGGTAGCACTTCTTGCTATTGCCAGCCTTCTCTTGATCTCCTGCGTAGAGCTGTCCTGGTTGTTGATGGTAGAGCCCAAGTACACATCGAATAACAGGCAATAAATCAATGTCAGAGATTCAAACTTCCTTATGAAAAATAGTTTGTGAATCTCTGGCACTGATTTATTGCCTGTTATTCGATGTGTACTTGGGCTCTACCATCAACACCCAGGACAGCTCTACACAGGAAATCAAGAGAAGGCTGGATCAAGACAAACAGAAACAAAGAAAATGATAAGATAGGTTTGGTCTGACCTCCCCCCCAAAAAAAATAACACACTCACTGCTGCTACTTCTGATACAAACTATCAAGCCCAGATGCACAAGAATACAATGTCAGAACCAAGGTTTCTCACGGCCGCAGAAATCTCACACCTGAAATCTCATTCAAATTTAAACCTTTATCCGAAAATATATAAGGTAAGATAATTCTTAAGCCTTTGAGCCCTGAACACCGCTTTACCGGTGGTAGAGAAAAAAGACGTAATATCCAGCCACCGGTTGAACAGTAGTAGAGAAAAAAGACTTAATACCCAGCCACCGTTTGAACGGTGGGTAAACACTTGTAACTATTTTTTTATATTTACTGTGAAACATTACATACCAATTATTTGCGAATTTTGACTCGGAAGCTGAGACAGAAGGGTTAAGGAACGCAGGGTTCAAGGGGTTAAGGCAAATTAATAATATCAAAGAAACTTAAAAAAAAAACAAATGAACTGAGCGAACAATGATAATAATGTGCAGTTATTGCTGCAGTCGCTTGTTAATGGGTTTTAGTTAAATTGAATTTTGACTCAATATGTTTTCGATGTTAATACATTTTATTATTTTTATATACACTTTTTAGTGATGTATTTTAACTTGTTCGTCGTATTTCTTAATTATCACTGGAAAATATGAGTTTTGTTTGGTTATCGAATATTTAATGTCATGTAATCTAAATGCTTTTGTGAACTACGACCCCCTGACATTCCGATTAAACGAAATCTGTCTATATCTCTGATATGAGGTATTACATTATTTGGAATGTTATCCACATCTTCATTGCCATATTAACATGGCCCAGTGGATAAAGACGTTGACTAGATCCAATGACTAAACACAAGTTGTGAGTTCAATACCAGACCACAGCAGTGGTGAACCAAAAACTTGAGTTAAAGGGAAATAACTGAGACATCCGGAAAAGGTATGGCACGTGGAACTAGAACAATCTACTTCGGTGGAGGATATAAAGGGTTCGGTTCGAAATTTCCAATTGTTAAAACATGGTGAAACAACTAAATTCACATGCCTCCAACAGCCACGACGTGTGATATATTAGCTAAAGAAGTCTGATTATTATAATTTGTCCGATAAAGACTCACTTTCTGAATTATGACGAAAATGGGAAGATAGAAAAATGAAACTGGAAAGGATGGCGCATAAAAAAAAGACAAAAACCACACTGTCGATTTTGACAGGGAGAGAACAATCGTTGTGTGTGTCTAGCAAACGATGTTATAAAACTAGATATTTAGTTTAATTTTCAGTAAGCATATCTTCATCTCTCAAAGGCTCAGAATAAAAATGTACCTTGGCTTAGAATGGAAATTTGAACTCATATGTCGGGCGAATATTCTGTGGTTAAGCTACTGCTAATTAATATAAATGTGGTGTTTGTTGGGGGGTGCATAGTTTACTACAGAGTGAAAATGTAGATTGACATGGAACCTGTTACTCAACAGACTTTGGTTTTGTTTTTACACTTCTGAATAAATCTTTTTTTTTTTTTTTTCGTAGGAAAGAAACTAGTTAAGACATTTACAGCCAGGATCCTGCTATGCCGTGTACATAGTCAAATTAATCCCAACTTTATATTAAATAGTAGAGTATATTTTGTTTTCTTGGAAAATAGCTCCTCTACTAGAAGGGCAACTCTTAATTCAAAACCATGAAAAATATAACGTAAAATCGTTCCAAATGTTTTCCTGACAAATCATACCAATTCAAAGATAAAATAAATCTACAGATGTTTGTAAGAACTACATTCCTTAGTTCAAACATTCCAAACATTTAAAGCTAGGACCCTGCCATACTGCGTAAACGGAGTTGAATCAATCGTAACTTTATATATATTAAATACTAGGGTTTATTTTGTCTTCTCGAATTGAATGGTGATCTGTCGAGTAGGACATCTCTTAATTGAAAACCATGGGAAAATCGCTACAAAATTTTTCCCTGGAAATCACGCTAATTCAAATATAATAAAAGAAAACGATTGTAAATGTTCTCTCATCTCTTCGAACTGGATATACAAAGTGAAATTAGTTGCTTAGCATATCTAAGTTTTCATTGGTCGATGGATAACAAATGAGAGCCAATGTTGAATGCTTTGGTTTCATTAACCGTGTCTTGGATTGAAAGCGATCTTGAATGTCAAGGAAAATTCTTTGTCCTAGATCTTGCATTGCCTGAAATCGTTCGCCGATTCATTGTAACTCAACGTAGGATAACGGTTAACGACGCTTGTCTGGTGGATCTTTGTTACTGGACAGGCCATGCAAATTTCGACATTTAAATAATTCGGCCAGAGTTAATAGGTCGTAAAAATCAATCCGTCAAAACAATAGGCGTATAATACTGAGAGCAGTAAAGATGAGGTGACGAGATATTGCGCATAAAAATTATATTCCTCTTGAACTGAAAGCAATCAACGTAATGTATAGATGTTGATGAAAGGCGGCGAAAGGATACTTCTCAATATGGCCATCACCCTAAATATCACAAAATATTTTTTTTATAATCAGTTATTAGTTGGGTCGAGAACTTTTCAGTATCCCTCGTATTTCGCACATATGCCATACAAAATTATCCAGTATTAAACCTAACCTATTTTGGCTAAACTTTGAAAGAAGATATCTCAGAGTCTCTTATCTCTGCTGCCGACTTAAAAATAGATATTCTTATCCTTCTTCTATACACTATAGTACTCTTTTTTTCTTCTTTTCTTTATTTTTTACTAATTATTCATTCATTATAAGGCCCAAGAGCCACTCAATGAATTTGTTGCGTGAACGTAAGATGAGAAGTAAGAAGTAATGTTTACGTAGGAATGATAACGCGTAATCTTAGACTTGAAGATGTTACAGTTGTAGTAATCGGGTAATCATCTCCTCAGGAGTCAATCCCACGAAGCAGCGGTTCTTAGGAAAAACGGTATTAACAGAACTTCCTCCTTACTAATGGAATACGAAAAGAATTGACAGGATTCGTCCCTCTGTCCGTGATATGCCGGGTTCTAGCAGTGAAGGTCTGAACCGGCGAAACTAAGGAATGTAGAGCATAAGAACATTTTCCAAGGAAATACCGATAGACTAACGGGAGGCTTGCGACCTTTCGTCTCTTGGAAGGGGTTTGTACAGTAGCACATAATTCATCGCCTACGTAGAGGCTTCTGGTCTATATCAAGCCAGAAAAGTGAGGACTGAGACCTTCCAACAACACATTGATCTGATCTGATATGACACTTGCAAAGACGGAACATCAGAAAATGAATATGAACCAGTTAATTTCTAGAGCCGTACAATGAACCGACTATTTTCCCAGCGTCTTTAGCTATTAATTGTATATAGGAGTTCACTTGATGTCTGAGGTGAACCTGATTAATTGTATATGGGAGTTCACTAGAGGGCTGAGGTGAACTTGAGTAATTGTATATAGGAGTTCACTATATTTCTTCAATATCTTCTGTAGGAATTCTTGTAGTTCCCTTTTCGTATCTACTATCGACACCGTGATATCTGTATATCTTATGTTAAGATAAGCGCCGTCAATAAAGAATCTTTGTAGGACACTTTCAATTATAATTTCCTCTTTTTTTTTTTTTCATTCATTCTCTTAGTTTTCATACGTGTGTCTACATTGCTTTTTTTCTTTGTTTTTCACTAACACGAAGATATGCGCTATATACCGTGTCCTATAAATATGACGAATAAATGGAGCATAAAAGAAGGAATAACTGTAATGTTCTCTGAACTTGCAAAACAAAAGAACTGTATTTTAATGATGACCAGGTATTCGTCTTGTCAATTCAACGATTTAGAAGTCAAACGAAAAAATAAATAATAAAAATCAACTTTAGCTTCTATAAAGTACAGCATATTCCAGATTAGACATAAATACGAACTATACAGGCCGAGATATATATATATATATATATATATATATATATATATATATATATATATGAGAGAGAGAGTGGGTGAAAACAAATATTCGTACACAAATTTTTAATTTCTTGTATTTCCAACTAATGAACTAATGCATAGAAAGAAAAGAACTTGATATAATAGAATCCAATTAAAATCCAATTTATCCATATCTCTCTCTATCCTGAGAGATACTCTCCGTCTGTCTCCGGTTCGCCTGAGAGACACTCTCCGCCTGTTGTAGCCTTTGTTCTGGGCCCTTTTCTCTCTCTCTCTCTCTCACTCTCTCACTCTCTCTCTCTCTCTCTCTCTCTCCTCATTTTCAAAATTATATTATTACTCTTGATTATAATAAAAGAATTACTATTGCTATTTATTTCTGAAATCGTAGGAACTTGGATAAATTTTTTTACTTAAAGCAAAACTTTAGCATGTATTTCCTTCAATTAAAACATTAATCAGCGAAGCCACTATCTTTTATAGATACTCTTAAACAGTTTTTTTTCTCTTTTTCTAGAGAGAAAATATGAAAAAAACTAATTTTCCGAGAAATCTTTATAGTATGAATTCCATTTATTATTCTTTCCTCTTATTTTTCAGATTTTTCTGAATTTGGTTCTGCGGTTGTCTTCCTTGACCATTGTGACGGCCATGTTGTTATTCCTCCGTTTGTATTTAATGGTATCCCAGCCAGCTTTCAGTAGACATGACAATCCACAATCGTTCGTAGAGAACTTCATGCTGCGAGTATGTCACGATTTCATTTACCTTTCAATTCTACTTTTGTTTTTGTAAATTCTTATAGTCACGATTACAAGTTGTGAAATCACGGTCAAATCTCGTGATCGAATGCACCAAATCACGTTCAAATCTCGTGCTGGAAAACACCAGTTCAGTATTTCAAGATTGTCCCTATGCCTTTCACACATACAGATGTGTTGTAATTGTATCCATTACAATGAAAATAGTAATGAACATTATATTAACTAGACTCGCCCCGTTCTAAGAAAATCAACACCTCAGAACCAAAGTTGGCTTTGGTTCTGGTAAGCGCCTTCAGATTTCGGTGTCATATTTTTTATCCTCTGTTAAACATTCCCTAGATATTTAAATTTTTGGTATCTCCATTTCGTAGTAAGCTTCTTTGGCTATTCTTTTTGCTAACAACCATACATTGTTTTCGTACAATTTACGGTTAGTCCATTCCTTTTGCTTTTCTTTACTACCCTCTGTAGGAGTTCCTATATTTTTCTACTGTTCACAAAATGTAGTAGCAAAATTGCGCATATTTGAGTTAGTAAGACGAAGATGGTGCAGTGAGCTGCCCTCCGGGAGGTTAGCATCAGTCATACTGATGGAATACATAGAAAAGTTCCTTAATATGGCATGGTAGGAGGTCTTGACGCATGCCCAAGCCGTTTCCCCGGCTATTTAGAGAGATCCTTTGAAACTGAAAAGTTTTTAAGTTTTTCACTCCAAGCAACGCGGGAGTGCCACTAGCACGAAAGGGATTACAGAGAGTGAGAGCAAGAGTAAAGAGGGGGGTGTTTGAGAAAAGAATAAACAGAAAGACGGGGATCAGGATCAAGGCATCAAAAGATGTCGATTGATATTACATTTGAATATTTAAAGATTATAGCTATCAGGAAAGCTAGTTAGAGGAAGAAAATTCCACTATCTGGAAGTGCGAGAGAAGCAGCTGTCAGAGTAGAAGAGGCGGTTACATTTAACTGTTTCGACAGTGAAAGGGTGGGACCGAAATGCCAACCTAGTAGCACACTTAAATTCATGCAGTTGGTGTACCAGTGAAAGTAGCTCGTCGGAGCAATTACCATGAAGATATTTGTAGAAAAGACAGAGAGAAGCCACAGCACGTCTGTGAGAAAATGACTGTAGACGAGATGGACTTTTCGCATTGCATATCCGTCTCTGGATTTGGTCGAGGACCTCGAGATGAACAGCCGGGGCACCAGACTATATATGGCAAAAGGATTCGATGCAAAGACGAATGGTAGATTTGAAGGCTGTTCGTAAATTCGTAAATGTGCTTTCAAAACCTTTCCAGCTAGATATATATTTCCTTGGGCCTTTCTTGCTGAATGTATCTACTTTCTTTATCTGAATTTTTATCAAGGTTCCATAGAGTACGGTGGAAAGAGCGTTGAAATTGTCAAACCGGATTTTTTTTTTTTTTTTTTTGGGGGTAAACATATTGCTTTTGTAAACATTTTTGTCGGTTTTAAAGGATGTCGCTGATTTATCTAAATAATTGATACAATGCATTTTTTTCTTTCTAGGTACTGAACTACTTTTACTTATATTGGCTGAACGCATGGATTCTTTTAAACCCTTTGTGGCTGTGCTGTGATTGGTCTAACAACTGTGTGTCCATTTTGGAATCTTTCCAAGACTTCCGGTCCTTAATCATACTTGTTTTCCTTGTGATTCTCGCGTTATTGGCATTTGCAACCGTAAAATGCTGGAACACGCCTCGTTCAAGGTTAGCCCTTTTATCTGTCTTACATGGTTGGACATGTATTCTTAGTCAATTATTACTTTATTTTGGAACTGTGGTGATTAGTATTAATTTATATAATAAAAAAAACAAAAGCGCTTTTGTTATAATAATAATAATAAGAATAAACTAGAAAAATTGACTCAACTGACACCTAATGCTACTACTTCCAGTAATGTGGTTGGCGCCTTATCGTTGGCGGGGAGGGGGTAAAGATGGCGAACACTTTTGATGCCTCCCCAAAAGTATTACGCTGAACACCCACCCAAAACTCTCATCATCAAAGCTCTCGTTTTCGTGTATTCCCATCTACTGGGGTGGTCAATCAATCCCTCCAGTTCAGCCATATTTGCGTTTCTTCTTTCCCCTCCCGTCAGAGCTAACCTGTGCTTTCTAAGGGGGCCTTAATTATAGTTCAAGTACGTACCCTACCAGGGTTGCATACGGGTTTTCAAATCAGAATTAGATTCGTTGACAAATGAAGTTCGGAAGAAGAGATGGATTCATTCGATTCCCAAAGGTATTTGTGCGAAAGTGAATATAACTAATGTGATCAGAATTCGAACTCTGCTCGCTGATTTCGCGTTCCTAACCATTACACCACAGGAATCAAAGTAATGTAAATGCGTTGTTTCAACGCATTTACATGAATTCTAGTAAAAAATTTTGGATATCAGCGCAAAACATTTTAAGATAGAATAGCGGTTTATAGTATATAGACATCTGGACAATTTACTCTTAATGCGTGCAAGAAAAGACATTCAAATTTGGAAATCTTCACTAAGCTTGACCAAATTGTTATATACCGATTTACTATAAAATTTCATTTCAAATCTTGTTTTAATCAAGTCTTGAACACCTACCACAGACAAATACGCAACCAATTGAGCCATAAAGCAAACACAACTACTAAACATTTAATTTAGTTTCCTAGTTGAAATTTCTAGGGCACATAACGAGGAAAGAGAGCTTCGAAAATTTGATACTCACAGGATAGATTGGCTTTCTAAAAAGATATATGGCTCAGATGTAGCACAAGGTCGAAAATATGGACACTCAGTAAGGTTCAAACTCACTACTCAGTTGTAATTGTTCTAGCGATCGACAACTAGGCTATTCCGCCACGCCTGGATGCCTCTCATTGAATAGATTGAGGGCAAGAGAGTAAAACATTGAAAACAACGTATAACCTACCTAGCGAGCTTTCAGCAAATGGATGGCGGAACAAGATTTAAGATAGGTAACAAAAACATGAAATTTATTAAGACTCACAAAGGACGCCGCCCCACAATCTGATGTCATTGATCGGCGGTCACATGACTCGCATATATCAGTTTTACATAAAGTGAGTTAGAAATATCAAAATCAATGTAGTACAACCTAAATATTTGGGATGTTTTAGCTGGGGACTGAAATGCGACACTGATATTCAAATGCGCATTGGGATAGTGAAAGATGCATTCCAAAAGCTAAGCAAAGTATAAAGAAAGAGGAAAACTCCGTGAGAAAAAAAAAGAGTACTGAACTGTTACGTAATATAGATATTTCTACACGATAATGTATGCTGGGTAATCTCCTCAAAGGTGAAGAAGAGTTGAAGCAAAAGAAATGTGGTTCTACAGAAGGATGCTGAGAGTATTATGGACCGAACCACGACAAAATTTTAGAGAAAATGGAAACAAAAAAAGCCCCTTTTATTTATCAGGAAGAAACAGTTGAAATTTCACGGGTACATCATGAGGAAAGAGGGTCTGGAAAATCTGACACTCATAGGACAGATTGAAGACAAGAGGGACAGAGGTAAAAGACGCATAACATACTGAGCTTGCTTGATTAAATGGATAGCAGCACAGATTTTAGGAGAAATAACAATACAAAATTTATTAAGAACAAGAAATTTATGGGGAGCTATAATCAACTTTCTGAAGGGACACGGCACATTGAAGTTTTAATATTTGGTGGGGAGGGAAATGGATTTTATAGTACTACAAGTACTGTATATTTTCTTTCCTTATCAACCTCTATACATTTATTCGCTTCATGTCTAAATTCATTCTATTAATACTTACGAAGCTCTGCCTAGGAGGCACGGTGGAGTAATGGATAGTGGCTCAGATTGAAAAATTGGAGAGCCGAGTTCGAATCCAGTCGAATCTTACATGCTAACACCCTTGGGAAAGATATGAATCCTCTTCTTCTTCTTCTCCCAGTTATGGGTAAATAGCAGGACAGACTGGGTTCTATAGCCTTCGATGGCAACTGGTCTACCGCAGAAAGGGCAAAACCTGCCTCTTCAGTCATCTATGGAAAAGATACCCGATTAGGCAATAAGGTATCCCGTACGGCACATAACTGAGTGAAGCTCTGCTTAGTAAACTCTAGGATGTGGGAGAACAGTAGGTAAAAAGATTGTTTATCCAGTTATTCAAATGAGAATTTGTTCCTCTTGAAAATGAGTTGGAATATTGCAATCGGTAAGAATTTCGGTTAAGACTGTCGTCACATATCACTTTGAATTAAAGGAAAAGGTATGAATGTAAATTTCCCTTTATTACCAGTTATTTAAAAAAAAAAAAAAAAGCATAGTCACTGACGTATGGCCACAGACGATAGAGAAATTGGTCAGCTGAAAAAATGAGGAAAAAAAATTCTCTCAACTATTTTATAGGCTCAGGTCGTAGCGTAAAAATATCCCTGTTCGTCCATTAATGTCAATACTAACCGGGACCAAGAAAGTTACATATGGTATTTTATGAACACAGGGGCCATGAAGCTAGAAACATGTTTGGACCATAACTAGGATACTCTCGGTAAATAACTGTCGATGTCTGTCAATCAGACTTGATATCTGGTTATTTGTATACAAGTATCAGAATCTCTCTCAGTCTCTCTCTCTCTCTCTCTCTCTATATATATATATATATATATATATATATATATATATATATATATATATATATATATATATATTAAAAAGGGTTAAACACTAATATTAGTGTTTAAGCCTTTGTATCATATCCTTAATCTGTCCTGGACATTGAGTTCTACCTGGATTCTATCCTCTCGGAATTTTTTATTCAAAAAATATACATATATGTGTATGCACCTATGTATATATATCTATATATTTTGCATATGTATGTGTATATTTACCACTAATATTATATATATATATATATATATATATATATATATATATATATATATATATATATATCCATTGTTGTGGGAATGCTGGTTGTGCTTGGGTTGGAAACGTGTTATGTATTTTTCCCCACAACAAAAATGGTGGACTCAGAATGTGAGTCCAGGTAATAAATTACAAAGTAACAACAAAAGTCTGTATATATATATATATATATATATATATATATGTATATGCTTGTTTTGTTAATATATACTTATTATTATATATATATATTGTCTATGTATATGCTTGTTTTGTTAATATATACTTATTGTTATATATATATATATATATATATATATAACAATACGTATGTACTAACAAAATAAGCATATACATAGACAATAGAATATAGTCGCGTGTGACAATGAATATGAAAGATGAAATGATTTAAACTAATAAGGGTTTTTGCGTAGAAGTCCTTGAAAAAAGTAAGTGAAGTATAATGTACGGTGTCGGACGCTATTCTCCATGTGCCACATGCATCTTACCGTGTAAGAGAAAAATAGAAAAGAGGTTGACAGAATGTCACTTGCGATTTATAGTCTTAAGGAAAGTATTTTTTGTTAGGAAAATAAGTGCGGTTAACTCACACCATCTCTCTACATCTCCATATATCATTCTACCTCGGTATATATATATATATATATATATATTACATATCCATGTAAACTTTTTTAATTATCTAATCCTTCTAATTTTAAACATATTACTAAAGTTATTTCTATATTTCTCCATATCAATCCTATAACTTTTATGAACTCCCTTTTCGTTGATTACTTAATTCTTTGTTCTTTTATTTTTTTTTTAAATATTTGGTTTTTTTATGTAATACTGGGTATGGCTTGTATTCTTAATAATTTAAATTATCTTTAAAATTTTAAATAGTTAATTATTTCTATTCATTCCTTTTTTTAATATTTTGCTAATATAAACAATCTAAAAACGATTTATTTTTAATCTTATATCTTATTTGTAAGCTTATTTTTAGTGAGAACAATTTTTTTTTATATAATTAATAATTAAAAATTTCGTTTTATAACACCAATTTGAGGTTTTATGTTTAATATCTGGGTTGGATTTGTGTAGCTTCTTTCCTTTTAAGACAGATAACTTCCACCCTTCCCTTACCACCACTCGAGCAGACTGTCTTGTCTTCTGGATTATGGTTTGGCTTCTGTATCAATTTTTCAACTGCTGTCTTTGTTAAATATTAAATTTTATATTTCTAGTTCCGACGCTGAACACAGTCTGAGTTGAATAATGCTGATGGCATTAGTTGAAATAGACTATACTCATAAGTGAATTTCGTATTTCTCTGTTATGTAATATATATTCAAGCAGGTTTGGTTGAATAATCTAGACAGTCTTTGTATTTTAATCCTCTCAAATTCACGGATCAGTTTCTTAGTGCTGTTAAAAAACTGAGTAAGAAAGACGACGTAAACTTGGTTATTGCTCAAGTACTTTCAATCTCATCCAAGATCATCTTCAGGGGTGAAATACTAAGACAAAATTAATGTAATTGAAAGTTGCGAATTTTTTTGTAAATAACATGAAACGCCTTCTGTTATAGTCAATTTAAGTTGAGAGTATTTAAGAGAAGTCATTTACTTCAAATTTTTAATTATAAATGCTTTAAAATACTGGACCAGCAATTTCTTTAAAAAAGAAAAATTAAATAGTTTTACAATTTAAGCATCTCAAAACATTGCTTTCATAGATATTTTAAAATCTTGTTGCTATACTTATAATTAATTTTATAAATGTAAATAGAACGCTACGAGAACTTGAAAAT